CCAAACACCTGTTGGACATTCACCCTAAACTTCTCTCTCACCCTTGAAGCTAATCAACTCCTGCAAATTCCTGCTTCTTGAAAGCTGTTGGATCTCACCTCGAGCTGTCCATTCCACTCTTTTTCTTCTTTTGTTTTGCTTTGTTTTGTTTCGTTCGTTTCATTCCACTCTTATTATCCCACCTCAGCCTTTTGCCAGCTCTCAGCTGATCTTAGGCACAATGGAGGTGTTTCCTCCAACATCCCTTCCCCCGCCCCTACTGCCAAGTCAGTAGCCACTGAAATTGTCCAAGTCCCCTTCCTCCTCAGAGTAAATGTGGATTCTTTAGCATGACAAAGAACATATAATAATGATACTTCTGGCCTCTGGGGGAACCAGTTTATCCTTCCAGGCCTGAGCTGACATTTGTCCTGGGGACTGTATTATAGACCGGTTGTTTCCATTCTTCCATGGAGAAGAGGAGAAACAGTAATTTTGATTTATTTTAGAAACATTACCCAAAGCCCTGACCTTCTGGTTCCAAAGGATGTGCTTCACATGAAGATTTTGGGAAAATATGAGCTATTTGCTGGGATGGAGACCAGGGTGATGCACATGATATACTTGGGGAGTAAAATTTAAAGCCTTTAATACTCCCGGTTATGCAAATACCTCCTTACATTTGGCACCCTAGGCACTCTGGCGCCTCACCTCCTGCATGCCGTGTTTACCTAAGTTACTTGATTAGCATAAATTATGAAGAAAAGCCTGGAGCAAATTACTAGCAGTTTATGACTTTAGAGTCTGGATGAAATTAAGCAAGCTCTTTTAAAATTTAAACTACATTATCAAATAACATTTAACCTGATTAGTGGGGTATAAGTTAGATCTACTTTCTATTCTAGAAGGAAACTTGGCCACATATAGCAGAACTTCCATAGCTGACTTCCTCCTTACCCTAACCACCTACATTGCCCTAATTTTCATAGACAAGACATGCACCACATGTATCAGTACAATAGGCCTAGTTCCTTGTGTTGACCACCTCCATATGTTGATTAGTTTGTTACAGTCCCTTGGGTGGTCAATTTACAGATGTTCCACTATATATATATGGAGATGGTTCTTATGCCATTTGATCTAGGACACTTCCAGGAGTTTATTCTATGTATGTAGACAACTTCTTATGTGCAAAGATATACATACAGAATATCTATAATAGTAAGGAGGAAATAATTAAATGTCCATAAATAGAAGAAAATGTGTACATGGTGGTACATTGTACATTATTGTGCATATTACACATTATTATGTAGCTGACCCAATGACAATTACATAGACTTTTAAATTCAGTACACATGCAGACAATATTAGAGTAAATACAATAAGTTTATAAAATTATATGCATAAAAAATCCCAAACTAGTTAATATTTGGGCTGGGCGCCTAGAGCTCAAGTGGCTAAGGCACTGGCCACATACACCAGAGCTGGTGGGTTCAAATCCGGCCCAGGCCTACCAAACAACAATGACAACTACAACCAAAAAATAACCAGGTATTGTGGCGGGTGCCTGTAGTCCCAGCTACTTGGGAGGCTGAGGCAAGAGAATCGCTTAAGCCCAGGAATTAGAGGTTGCTGTGAGCTGTGACACCATGACACTCTACCCAGGGTGACAGCTTGAGCTATGTCTCAAAAAAAAAATTTTTTAAAATTTGATATATGCTTAGAACAAAAGAAGAGCAGAAGAAAATACAGAAAAATGGTAACAAGGTTACTTCTGGATTTGGGGATTGTGGATGATTTTTGTGTTTTAAAATCTTTTTCCCTAGTGAAGTAACTTCTAGTTTTAAAAAAAAGTTTCCCCATTATTTTGTAAATTTAAACAATAGTCATATGTATCTTTTATAATAAAAAATGAAAGTTTTATTTATTTATTTATTTATTTATTAGAGGCAAAGTCTCACTTTATCACCCTCAGTAGAGTACTGTGGCGTCACAGCTCACAGCAACCTCCAGCTCTTGGGCTTAGGCGATTCTCTTGCCTTAGCCTCCCAAGTGGCTGGGACTACAGGCACCTGCCACAATGCCCAGCTATTTTATTGTTGCAGTTTGAACAGGGCCAGGTTTGAACCTGCCACCCACAGTATATGGGACCAGCGCCCCACCCACTGAGCCACAGGAGCTGCCCGAAAGTTTTTAAAAGTAATTTTTTTTTCCTGAGGTCTCCCTCTGTCACCCAGGCTGAAGTGCAGTGGTGTGATCACAGCCCACTGCAATTTCATCATCCTGAGCTCAAGTGATACCCCACCTCAGCATTCTGAGTAGCTAGGACCACACACACACCACCACCACACCCACCTAAATTAAAAATATATATATTTTTTGTAGAGATGGGAGTCACAGTATGTTGCCTAAGCTGGTCTTAAATTTCTGGGTTCAAGCAATATTCCTGCCTTGGCCTTCCAAAGTGCCGAAATTATAGGCACCAGACACTACATCTGGTCTAAAGGTAATTTTTAAAAAGAAAATCTACTTCCCTCTTTAAGATCAGGAATAAGACAAGGATGCCCACTCTTGCCACTTCTATTCAAACACAGTACTGGAAGTCCTGGCAAGAGCAACCAGGCAAGAGAAAGAAATAAAAGGCACACAGTAGGAAAGAAAAAAGTGAAAATGTCACTGTTTACTGATGACATGATCTTATATATAGAAAATCCTAAAGACTCCATCATAAAACTATTAGAACTAATAAACAAATGCAGTAAAGTTGAGGGACACACACAACACAAAAAATCAGTATTGTTTTCTTTTTTTTTTGAGACAGAGCCTCAAGCTGTCCCCCTGGG